CACTTTTGTTGGCAAGGTGATGTCTCTGCTTTTTAGTATGCTGTCTAGATTTGCCATAGCTTTCCTCCCCAGGAGTAAGCATCCTAGATTGCTAAGTGAGACATATATAATTTTACAATCTTTTTGCCATGGTTGTTAAGTGAATCACACAGTCATTAAATAAATCTGGTTTCCTTGACTTTGCTTTTGGGAAGCTGGCAGGGAAGGTCACAAAACTTGTGAAACCAAGATCCTACAACCACTGTAAATGCAAGCTGGTTTTCAAGTACCCAAATTTTGATTACATAACCGTGGAGACACTGTGATGGCCATAAAGGTGAGGATAGTTGTAAGTCACTTTTTTCAGCAACATTATAACCTTGAATGATCATTAAATGAATGGTCATAAGTCAAGGACTATCCGTGTATGGCCATCCCTATGACAGTGTAATGAACCAGAATGTCTGGTACTTCTCATTTGCAATTCATAATTATTTCAGATTCTTAGTAACTGAAGTTCTCTCGCCATTACAACACTATTTGAAATAATAAGTTTTTTTCTGATTTTTTTAAAAAAAACTGAAGCAGTAAAATGCAAACAAAAAATTACATAGTAAATATAAAATCTATCACTCCACAGTAAATTAAGACCTTAAAATCAAATTGAACACCCACCAATGGCTATGTTTTGGTGCATATTAAGACTATTTTATGTGTCCAAGAAAAAATGAGAATTGGTGTTATATAAAAGATTAGCAAGAACAAAGATCTATCTAAATGTGTGATTTAGCAAGAATACCAAACCAGAAAAAACTACAGTATGAATACCACCCCTAACATAATAACAATCATTAGTACTTGCACATCCAACACAATAACCATTAGTTTTTGCAAAAGAACATCAAAAGAAAGATGATAGCAGGAAGCACATCAGGCTGATTGATAAGGCTCCCTTTTGGAAGGAATTAGGATTTAAACTACCTCACCCTTAAGCACCAGAACAGTGATGGCTAACCTTTTTGTTGTGTGCCAAAAGCATGTGTGCGTGCACCCATAATGCAATGCGCACATGACACACACACACACCTCCCCCCTGCACATGCATGCGTGACACCACCACCCATGCTCCCCACCACCACGCAATCCTCCCATGCCCGTTTTGGGCCTAATAGGCCTTCCTGCAGCCTCCTAGGACCAAAATGGGCTGTGGAAGAGTGTAGCTCCCCTGTGCTCCCCCCCTACATGTGCACAACTTCCCGGGCCACTGCGCATGCATTTCCCACATGTGTCCTGCTCCCCGCGCATGCATGGCAGAGACCCCAAAATCAGCTGGCCAGCGGGAGGCACGCACAAATGCGTGGTGGAGCTGAGCTGGGGCGACAGTTTGCGTGCCCACAGAGAGGGTTCTGCGTGCCACCTGTGGCACACATGCCATAGGTTTGCCATCACAGCACTAGAATAATGGACATACAATCCTGGATATGTATATTGCTGGATTATAGGTAGTCCTGAAGTTACAACCATAATTGAGTCCACATCGAGACTGTTGTAAAGCAAGTCATTATGTGACCAGACCCAATTTTAATAACCTTTTTTGCAGCTGTTGTTAAGTGAATGCTGCAGTCATAAAGCAAACACTTAAATAAGCAGTTAAACCCATTTTTTGCTATGGAGCATTTTCTGCCAGAAACCAGAAGCACCAATTTTCTACAAAAACATAAATTATGAGCCTGTGACCACAAGGTGCTGAAAATGTTTGTCAATGCAGGCAGATTCCTGACTTTCCAAAATGAGGTCATGTGGCTGCAGAGGCACAGATGCTGGAACTTCAAAATGGGCTGTAAGTACTTTTTTGGGATGTGTTATAACTTTGAACGGTTGCTAAGCGACCGGTGGTAAATCAAGGACTATCTGTAGAGCTATATCTCTGATACTCTGCAGAATACTGCAGTCGCTAAGATAATTGCTCTTTGTCTCTTACCAGGTATCCATTGGCCATTCTCAAACCTCAGACTCTGTCCTGTAAGTGTCATAACAGGGGTTCCATATTCTAAGCCCAGCTCAATTTCACGGGCAGATCTGTCCAGCTGTAAAACAGAGAAAATTTTCCCAATATTTTACATTCCTTAATTTCTATTTATTTTCTTAGCATTAAACAAACCTGTACAAAATATGCCAAGTCCATTTATTATAGGGCATAAAAAGTACATATCTTACACAAATATGCATTGGAAGTCATTTAGCACCATCACACTGATATTCCCATAAGGTTGCATCATTTTAGGGAAATATGGATGCGATTCTATAGCTTTAGCGTCCAGTCATTGCAGAATATATTGGATTTCCACCATCAAGATCAGGAAAGCTCCAATATCAAATTTATTTTCCAACCTCCTCTGAAACCAGCTCCTCTCCTGAGATTGTGAAATGTAAACTATAAAAAGTTCAAAACAAAAAACAATAGTGAGAGGTGGACTAGGCTGAGCTAAGATGTAAACCCCACTCTTCTCTAAAAAAGGTAAAGGTTCCGCTCACACATATGTGCTAGTCGTTCCCAACTTTAGGGGTCGGTGCTCATCTCCGTTCAAAGCCGAAGAGCCAGCACTGTTCGAAGACGTCTCCATGGTCATGTGGCCGGCATGACTAAACGCTGAAGGCGCACAAAACGCTGTTACCTTACCACCAAAGGTAGTCCCTATTTTTCTACTTGCATTTTTATATGCTTTTGAACTGCTAGGTTGACAGAAGCTGGTACAAGTAAGGGGAGCTCACTCCATTACATGGCGCTATGCATTTGAACTGCCGACCTTCTGATCGACAAGCTCAGCACCTTAGCCACGTGAGCCACCTACTCTCTTCTGTACTATGTTAAAAAAAAACAGAATAAAGATTTCATAGAGCTTGAGAACTGCTCTAAATCTCTTCTTTTGCACATAACACAAGGAAAACTTTTTATTATTTTTATTTATTCAGTCCTTTCCTCAAAAGGAGATAATGGCCAAAATACACTTTGCTTTCAAAATAGAAATACGATGTGGTTTACAATTTTGTTTTTTATTAATACAGTTTGTTTATTGTTAAAAGATTTTTTTATTATTTAAATAAAAATGGGTAAAAGTATATAACATCACAGGAAGGATTCAACAAGTAACAAACTGGTTCTACTTTTCTGAATATTTTATAAGCAAAAGTGGCTTCAAGAGTCTCCTATTCTGATGAAAAACATAGCATAAAAATCTTCAGTTTCTTCTAGAACTTACCAAATGGAGGTTGGAAAGCGAGGCTGATTTTCTGGGCGGAGTTTTCTTTGGACTGAATGTGTTTCCAAAAAGTGGCATCTTTCTAAATCCCTCTTATCCTTCCTGGAGGGGGGGGGGAAATCCCACAAAGAGTATTATTTCATTGAAAAATGCATAGATCAATCACTGCCCACAAGAGTTGGACACGGAGAACTTTTTGACCTCAATCAGACTATAAATTCCCAGCTACCATTACCTATATAGTAGCCTACATCTCCAGAAGGTACCAGGTTAGCCCAAAAAGCAACCACAAACACTACTTTTAATCAGATGCAACGTGAGCATATCAGCAATAGAGGCAGCTTGTCTGAATTTCATCTGATGTGTAGCTGAGTACCAACCATCTGCTCAAGGTAGCAGGTGGCAATTGTTAATGCATCTTAAGTGACCCAGCCCTGGTACCGTCTCTGATCCAAGCAATGCCCCACTGGAGGATTTTTGGAAAATCCAATATTCCGGATCTCCTGTGCTTAAAAGTGCCGAATCCAAGTTAACACCACATTTAAAAGAGCCCCATGGCAAGGAGCGGCATTTTCCTACCTAGCACTTCTTCAGACCAAATTTAGGGAACTTTCACACCATGATCACGACCATAACACATACAACACTCCCAACCTTCAAAACCAATCTGCGCAGGCGCAGCCTCAACCGATGTTTGAAGCTTTGTAACCGGCGGTAGCCCGGGGACGACCGCGCTGAGGATAGCTGGGGCAGCAGCCAGTACCACATAAAGGGAAGGGAGGTTTGTTTTTAATTTCGCAATTGCGACAATAAGCTTTGCTATAGACTCACACAAACGGAATATATATAAAGTAAGAACGCGTGACAGAATCTCTTCTCAGGAGAAGGAATGACGTATGAGTAGAAGGCTTGCGAAGTTATAACCCGTATCAGAAGATACAGCCCCCCTCCTTCTGTGATGGTAGCGACCCAAGCGACTGTGAAAGGAGGCGTGAACCGCAGCAGCGGCGATAAGGTCCTTCCATCGTTGTAATATGGGGGAGGAAGAAAGAAATAATGATTTTGATAGAGCTATTTTTTAATGCTGACGTTCGGAAGATGTGTTCTCAAATAAATTATTCCCAATGTATTATATTATTCTAGTAATAGCGAAGAAGTGCTAGGCTCTCCTTTAGTCCGGTACAAAGGTAGATTGAGGGAATAGTTTATTCCGCTGGTTGCTGTGGTAACAGAAGGACGCCAAGCGAAGGAGCGAAGCTAGACTCTTCCGGGAGAGGGCGGTCCGTGGCTTGATTCGAGTCTTGGTCGCTGCCGGGAAAGTGAGCAATTTTATTCCCACAATAGCCGTCCCCAAACTGAACAATGGGTGGGAGTTCTGACTGTGCTGTGCTGTTTCTGAGCGGACAGTGCTCAACAAGTTCCCATGTACATAGCTATTGCTATGTACCCAAATAGAGTTTCAGCCCGTCCACTTTGCTCTTGGACAGATCTAAGCAGGGAAAGGAGCGCCATACTTTATTCCACTGTAGAATTTCTGGTATTGTTAGGAAGCCTTTAAAAAAAATCAGTCGGAATCTACGTTCCAATAACTCAAATCCATTATTCTGGATCCTACAGTTCCGAACAGTACAGAATAGTTCTTCATTGTCTTCTATGTGATCTCCTTTTTATTTAGCATGACTAGATGTAAGGCAGTGGACTTCATTTCCACTGTGATTTATATCATGTAAATATATATTTCCCCCCCGCAGTGCCCTGTTTTCCTATGTACATGTTTTAAATAAATAAATAAAGCTTGGGAACTGAAACCAATATAGCTAAATCCAAATTTACTTTCTTGGAAGAGGGTTATATTGGAGCCCACTTCAAAGTCCCCAGTCTCTTGTCCCCCTTGCCCTTCCTTCCCCACTGCATCATAATAGTCCCAATTCAATTGCTAATGCAACTGCTTGTTACTCTGGCCACTTCTCCAACTTCTACAGACTCTTCCCAGATGATATCACCATGGTCTTATTCTTGGACTTTGTCTAGCCAGCTTCTAACTCCTATGAAAAATAAATAATTCCATCTGCAAAATACTTCATTAATATATCTCAGCAGCCCATCTTCTTCAATAGGGCCCAACCTATTGTAAAAAGAACTTTCAACAACACTTTCAATACTGTTTCCTATATAAGTGACTCCTTTTGTTTCCACATTCCAACACAAGCTGATGATAATTTGTTAACTTCAAGAATGATTCAGAATAAAATGACTGAATAAAAGTGTGTTTCAAATTAAACTATTTTTTCCTTCCCTTTTTTAATGTTGTTTTCTGCAGGATGAATTTCATACATACTAAAGCATTTTTAAGCCCCCTAAGTGGTTTCTTGATTTTGCCACCCCGAACCCAAGAAGAGAGAAGCAAAACCTTCAGTTGCAGTTTAGATGACCTTCCACGCTGTATCCTTTTCTCATTAATTACAAACAACATGAAGTTTACATGAAAATATTTCTCTATATACACATGTATATTTCCATTTAGCAGAAATATGCTTTTGTGATACAAGTTGTTATTGAATCAAGTCCCACTCAATTTATTTTAAAAGAGAGTTGAATTGGATCTCTGAATTAAGTGTTTCTTATGAAAAATACATTGCAACCAAACAAACTAGATTCTGTTTTACTTGTAATAAAATATTGATGTCCAACATGATGCCTTAACCACTACACTAACCTGGCTGGCTCCACAAATAAAATAATGCATATCATATTTAAAAAGCAATATTAAACTAAAGGAAAAAGAGAAAGAAATAACAGCAAGATTTGTATATTATCCCTCTTTACAGACTTTTGAAAAAACCCTTAACAAAATTGTTAGTGTATGTCATTGGCAATATACAAAATGTGAATAGAAAAATATCTACGTTAGAATTGGGACTGAGAAGATATGACAGTAGTGATGTGGTAAGTAAAGATATATTGCAGCATTTTTAACGTGCAGAATTCCAGAATTTTTCTGATCTAATTTTAAGCAATTTAGGAATGGTCAAATACCTTGCTTAGCCTTTCTGATGGCAACCTGAAAATCAGTGTAGGTTTTTTTCTTTCTAAATTAAATACACGTATATAGCTGAGTAGGTACAGAAAATAAAAAGTACATACCAAGCTGATGAAGCTACAGTTTAAATAAGGAAAGCTTTGCAGTTTGAAATTACTTATGTACAAAGGTACATAGCACAAGGACATAAAAATAGTGATCAGTCTTTGGGAAAGAGTAGTGGTGGTTATTTGTTGTATTGCTATTCTTCACATTGTAGTTAAATCATTCTTGTTTCACGTGAATGAATTATTTATCAGGTTGAACATTGTTAGTAATATAGACATTTGGATTTCTTTAAGTACATGAAAATTTATAGAGCAACTGAAAATGAAGAACATAATTATAGGAAAGGCAAGCACTTTAAAATTCCTTTTGATGGAGGAGATGTAGCATTTTAACTCTTCAGATAAATGGGAATTAGAGAATAGAGAATTTTTTATTTTACAGTTCTCCACAAATAAGATACATTTTAGAACTTTTAACAAAAATTGTCTCAGTTTATCTTTTTCTTATCACTGAAGGTGATTGAGGATATGATGCACAGGAAATATCCAGGGTTGAGGAGTCCTAGAAAAGGAAGACGTATAAGCAGGGGGAAAGGTAAGCATAATGACAATATTAAATCAGTGATTTAATTGCTTCAAACTTAAGTTTCATTGCATCATATTTAAAAATATCCCTTCTAGCCATTGTTGGTTAAATCATATGTCTTACCAAACTGCTCTTTTAGTAACCATAGTTAAGAATCCAGAATATTTGAGGAAATTGTTGTCAGATGTGTACTTTTACCGTGTTCTATCTGCTCAACATACATGTTCAAAATTTCATAAGTTCACTCCTGGAGCATGAGTATGATTGGGGATGGGGACATAGCAATGGTCCTAATTTTGGCTTGTCAGAGGATTGTGAATCAGGGCTAATACCAAATTACAACAGCTGTAGTTTTGTGTATAAATAAGCTCCTTTTAGCTTTAAATGCATGACAAAACAAAAACAATTGGCATTTCTGTGCCTGGATAATTACATACCAATTACATTTGCATATTAAGTGAACTTCTACTCAGGTGCTCAATAGGAGTGTTCTTTTTCTTACATTGCAGAGAAGGATCAGGCCATGACACACAAGTATGGAAGACTTGGTTCGGATGCAGAAACTCTACAAAATAAAAAAAAAATAGCTCACAAAAAGGTATGATACTGAGTGACAAATCAAAAGTCACTCTTTCCTATAAATATATAGTATTTAAAAGCTATATTATTCTTAATGTTTAGGAAATACAAATTTTACTGTGAGATGTGTGCTATGAAGAAACCATGAACTATATGAATCTTTATATTTAGTGACTATTAAACTACAATTTGTAACCTATGCATCAATTATGCTGATATTGCAAAATATTTTATTATGCTTATTTGGAATTCTGGGAGCTTCTGTACAAAACATCTATAATGTTTATGTCTCAAAAATATTATAAATGTGTCCTAATAGTATTTAGCATTTAGTAGAGTAAGCAATCTATGGCCCAACATTTTTTCTGCTTACTGCAACTCTACAGTATAATTCCCCACCAAATACTTTCCCGCCAAAATACCTTCATAAGCATAGTAGGAATCCTCTAAAATAAAATTAAAGTAGTTATAAAAAAACAAGAAACTCTGCAAGTAAAGAAAAAATAAAAGCCTTCTCCATGTATGCATATGCAACATTAAATAACCAATGAACCCTTGGATCATCATTTCAGAGATATTTCCTTACCAGATTCCTCAAACCTTTAGCAGAATTGTATAATACAATCAAATATCAGGAACTGACCACAAAAAAAGTTTAAAATGTTTTGTATTATGTAACAAAACATTTTATGATAATTTTATGAGATTTGCTAAATTTCAGTTCTATGGGAGTCATGGGTCCCAGATTTTGGAAGGATTGCATAAATTAACCCATATGAGGTACCTTGGTTGAAAAGATTTTGTTCTATGTTACACCGTTTCAACATAGTTAAAAGTTACAGACAAGATAATTTTAGTAGTATACAGACATATTTATATTCATTTTATATTATTAGCACACCCACTGAAGATCTGGCCTCACCTCTACATGTTAAGTTGTTCCCTACTGCTGCTGCCTCAGGAGGGCCACGTTAGGCAAATTCGTCCACCGGACTATTCTGTATTGGACGCCATTGCTCCGGAAAGGCAGCGTATGTGGGCCTCAGACTCCCCCCAGTGGCCATTACTGGTACTTTCTCCATCCTTTGGCTGGTTTTATGGCTGGTTTTATCATCTCTACCATCTTTATCATCTTTACCGCCTCTTTAATTACCATCTACCCACCCCTCCTATAATTACATCTATAATTACATCTCTTGGGCTTCCTCACGTGCGAACAAATTGTACCCATCCGATCAGTATTGCCCCTC